TCTTGATCCACGGCTAACACGATGAGCTCATGCGGACACACATGTTGGATGGTCTTGTCAAAGATGACACACCAGGGTGAGATAGGAAACAGGAGAAAAAGCCCCCATGATATGTGCTTATAGTATGAAGCATAGAGGACAGTTGCACCGGAGAAAAGCCATGTAAAGGGACATGATACATCGCGGGTTAAGTGTAAAATATTAGGGAACAATATTCAGATCCGATCTTGAGAATAGGGAGCTAGAGGACAACGATATTGCAGCGAGCAACTTTTCAGAGACGTGAGCGGTAAAGGAGGAGCCAGAGGAGAATTTGGTAACGAAGATGTCCAAAGAGAGGAAGCTGGGAGGAGACGTAGATACTGAGTATCAGTAGATAGTGTCATTCGTTTTTCTGAGCTCGAAAGCCATTCAGCATGAGGCGACCAGTGGAAGGTCGTGAGGTCCATGGTAATTGGTAGGTACGTGCGCTCCACCGCACAAACTCTGTGGCTTGCCTGTAATTAAGGCAGCTGGATAGGATGTGAAATAATCAAATCGACGAGATGAACAAAAAGAGACACACGAAAATGAAAGCAAGTCATCGAAGAAAAAAAAGCCTGCTCCTCTCAATAAGACGGGACACCTATGACGGAACAGGCGATTACGTGTCGAGCCATTAAAACCATATAGGGGCGTTTATTCCTGAGGCAACTGGCTACGGCGAGTCTTCTCGGCTTCGAGGTTTTCGTACAACAAGTACAAAGCCTTTTCATTAGCCTGAGCGCTGCCCATGATCGTGAACATGCGTTCTCCGGTCTCATCGTGAGGCGCTTTAGCGATGGAAATGCGAGCTCCAGAGCTTCTGCGAATCTCGGTGATTTTGCTTCCACCCCTGCCGATGATGCAACCGACCATGTCCGCTGGGATGCTGATATTCTGAGTTTGAATTTCTTCGCCGTCCTCAGTGACAAGGGGATAGCCGCGGTTGGAGGTATCTGGATTAGAGCGTCTGCCGTAGCCACCGGATTGGCCGTCGCTGAAATCGGCGCCGTTACCGGTGCGGTTGTAGGGACGACTGCTGTAGCCATTGCCCACGCTGCTCGTGTTCATCGAGGTAGATCCGCCAACCGATGCACGAACGGCAGGATTGTAGAGGATTGTACCGGTTCCCCGCTGCCAGTCATCGATGAGGCATTTTCCAATCTCCCAAACGGCCTTCTCAATACCCTCTGGGGTTCCCTGCACTTCCACGATCCGTTCGGTGGATTGAGGTAGCATTTCCTTCTGGGCGACCATTCGCACACCAGAAGCATCCTGGATGTGTTTGATCTTCAAACCTTGGCGACCGATGATGGTTCCCATTTGATTGTGGGAGATCAGGAGGCGGACAGCTAAACACTATATGTTAGTAAATGGGGTTCAAAAGGTGCACAAGCGCCTGCTTAGAATATTCGTTGCAAATGGTCCGGATTCCTCCAGGGCGAAAGGGAAACATACGATGAGTTCCATTGTTGTTCACAATACCACCCATGCCCATTTGCGGGGCTCCTTCAAGTAAGCCCTTGGCCACCAGGGCATAAGCCCGGGCTGTACCTTGCAGAGGCCCCGTGACGGTCAAGACACGATCATGAACACCAGGAACGACTTTGCTCACACCAGCCTTGACACCGGTTTCATCACGTAGATCGGCCACGTTTTTGCCGGCTTTGCCGATAATCACGCCTGCTTCCTTAGAGGAGACGATGGCGCGGAGGGTCAGCATAGACTGCGCGTATTCCTCTTCGGTCTTCGGAGTGACTTCCATGTCACCCTCGTCGGCGACATTCATGGCATCAGCCATCGTCTCGTCAACCGGAGGGGCGTCGCGCATCTCGGTGGAGTCCATGGTTTAGAAGTGGAGATGAGTGATTGATATAGGTCTTGGCAGATGTGGTGTAAATTCGACAAAAAGCTCCTAGAATGGGTCGTTCTATTGCTGGTCAGAGAATGCGTTCAAAAACACTGAAATGATTGACCAGTGGTTCCCTCCAGAACAATCATGATGAGCTCATGGTGCGGAGAGGGCATAGACAGACCCAAGAGAGAACCAAATTTGATGTTGATTTGTGCGCATCGAGCACCGAAATAAATGAATGGAAGGGGGATGTCCTACCTAGGAAGGATGATCAAGGTCGAGAAAAGATGGATAGCTGATGAGGAGAGATGGGACGGAATAGACGAGGGTATAACGGCGGACAAAAGACGTGTAGGAGGGGTGTCAGTCGTTGAGCTGTTCCGAGGAGTTTCGGTAGGCGGGGGAGGCGGAGAAGAAATCCCAAGAGAGACAGGGAAACGGAATGGTGAGAAAGAGGAGGAAGAGGAAGAGAAGGAGAGGAGACGGAGAGGAAGAAAGGAAGGAAATGGAGGGATGGAGTGGTAGAAGACGGTAGATAGAGGAGAAAGAGGATAAGTTGCTGAAGGGAGGGAGGAGGAGGGGGGTGAGGTGAAGAGGAGGAGAGGAAAGAAGATGAGAAGAATAATGGAGGAAAAGAGGAGGAGAGAGTGGCACTTTTGGGTACGGTGGTTTATTATTTTATTATTACCTTACCTTACTGCGGGAAGGCTTTGCTTGGCTCTTATTGGGTTGGGGATTTTGTTTGTTTTTGGCAGGCGGAGATGAAGTTTGGTCACGCTTCATCTATCTAGGTTTATATTAAGACTACCTCTCTATATCATAGGCATCTCACGCTATAATCTTCCAGGAGATGGGTGTCTCTTTACACCGTCCTGGGGGTTGCTGATACTTTTCATTTATCAGCTTCAAAGATGACCTTTTGGACTTTCATGGCATTGAAGAGCTCGTAGGCCTCCACCGCTCGCGAGAGGGGCATGATATTGTCGGTCATGAATCTGATTTCTCATTAGCCAAAACAGAAGTCAAACAAGCATGCATCCGCAGGAGGTTTTCACAAAATGGTCCGCAGACATACCCTAGCAGGTGCTGATTCTTCTTTAGAACCTCCAACGCTGCCTCAGAAACAGACCTGACGGGGCATCTGCCCATCTGGACAGTGAGGTTCTTTCCGTATGCCTCGCTCCCATTCCACGGAATCTCGAAAGTGGTCAGGAACGTGATCGCTCTTAAGTGTAGAGACTCACCTCTCCGTTGTGAACTCCCACACTGCTGAGAATACCCCATGGCCGCAGCAGATCAAATCCAGTCCTCAGCGCTGGGCTAAGACCAACCACCTCAATGACAGCATCCGCTCCTCGCCCATTAGTCAACTCTTTGACGCGCTTGCTCAGTCCTTCTCCGTCTGTCTTGAAGTTCCAAGGCTCGGCACCAAGAGACCTGGCCAGTTCAAGTCTGGACGGGACAGAGTCAACGGCCAGTAAATGCTTCGGTTTGAACTCCAGTGCGTTGATCAAAGCACACATCCCGACGGGGCCGCAGCCAATGAGCACGACTGTCTGCTCGGAGATCTGCTCTTGTGTCCGTCCCTTGAACGCATTGCTAGCCGCAAAGTAGCCAGTTGGGAAGATGTCGCCCATGAGAACAAGGAACTTTTCGTCTATTCCCTCAGGTGCTTTCATTGCGCTGCCCTCTGCATTCGGAATTCGGACCTATGCGGCATTGGTAAATGTCTCAGCAGAAACCATGGCGCCAACAAAGAACACTCACATACTCCGCCTGTCCTCCATCCAAGGCCTCGCAACCGAACAGGACATTCTCCTCGCATCGGGAGGAAAACCCTTGGTTGCAGTAGAAGCATTTCCCGCTGTTTTTTAGACAATATCAACATGTACTCCATAGGCTAAATCCGACCAATAATCCCGTTTCTGATGTTACATACCAAGACGTTGTAAAGGCGCTTATAACCTTATCCCCCTTCTGAAACTTCTTGACAGCATCACCAGTCTCTACAACAACCCCAGTGAATTCATGCCCCATGATAAACCCCGAGCCAGAAGGCTCAATGCCACGGTACGTATGAAGGTCGCTACCATGACACCGCTCAATTAGCACATATACGATCACTACAGTAGCAGCGGGTGTACTTACCTCCCACAGAGGGCAGTATAAGTAACCTTCACGACGATATCGGCCGGATCCTGAATTTTGGGCACTGGTCGTTCCTCAACGGCCACCGTGAAGGGCCCGTGGAACACTACCCCACGCATAGTATCCTTGGTAGCCATGCTGTGTCAATATGACGAGCTACTATTCCATGTAATGGGCCTTAGTGGTAGACGTCTATATATGAGTTCGTCTTGAAGCAAGGGCGCGGACTGAGTTGAAAAGATTGTCCTGCTCCACACCGATAACGGCAGTCCCTCACGTACTGTTCTTTGGTGCGGGGCAGCATCCAGCTTGCAAGTATTCCATTCATGACTAAGACTAATAGAATATAAGGCTCGGGACTGACTTGCTTCTAGTAATTTGTCTTCATAAATGGGTATACAGATGTTTCCGCGTAGTACAATATTGATGCACCAGATGGTATTGGCTTACGACACCCTTTTAGGTAGCGAAAACAAAGAGTATTGAAATGTCGTCGCATGCGATGCGTTGATCTTGAAAGCCATTTATCCACGCAGACAATATATGCATGCTACGAGAACAAAAACCTAAGTTACCTGCAGTTTGATGTAAAGCTACGACCTCACCGGAAAGTCAGACTGCAATAGACGATCCAGGGTGGAAATGTAGACTAGGTAGTACCTGCATCTACGCAGGTGCAGTATATGAATGGGCTATGAAGAAGAGCCGGTTGACGGTGTATTGATATAGGGAGCCTGAATTGCGCCCTAACCTGCTGTAAACGCCCATGCAGTTTGAAACGGAAGAACTCCAGAACGCCTTGTCCAACGCCTTTCCCCTAAACACCCACACTAGAACGCTCACTCGAATCAGTCTTTGAAGATCTCAGTCACACACCCTCCTCCAAGTCGTTCATTGACGACGTTGCTGTCAGGTAGATGAATGGCCCTTCTGTCGTCGAAAGGACAGCCCATCATCGTAGAATGGAAGCTGGCTATCAACACACCACACATAACAATTCTTCCTCCAAAATGAACTTTCCTTCCTTGTATTTCTCACTCGCCTCGTATGCTTTGTCGTACTTCCACCCTACTAGTTCGGCGCATTGCCTGCAGAATATGTCTCGGACGATATGCCTTCCGGTGGTCATGTTACGCTCCACAGCCTCGGAGTGGGTTACATTGACAACGGTGTTGAACAAGTACGCCTTGCCATGTTGGCCACGGAAATTCTGCGGTAAAGATGAATGGATCAGCAGATGCATCAATCATGTAACAGAAAAGAACCACAATACAGAAATACTGACCCGACTGATGATATCATTGTAATCGGCAAGGTGCGTTTTGCATTTCTTGCACCCGAATATTTTGTTGGAAGTGAGATAGACGTTGTACGCAAGACCCATGGTGACCTGTATCGCTTTGCCTTCCCACTACCACCGACCTCTCAAGAAAAGTCCTGGAGTGCGAGCTCAACGACGATAAGGTGGGTAATCCGTAGTTGCCTCAGTGTGTGGGTTTGGAATAACTCTGACGGAAGCGATCAACAAGATATACTGTTGTTCCGGATTGCCCGCCCTTCACAAGAAGTTCCCAACCTGGTAAGAACCCACCAACAATACTTATAGTTGACGTGGCTTCAAACCTGATCGGATGGAGAGTTCGGGAAGATACGCTCCCCGCTTTATGGACTGACTGTACAAGTTTGGAAGAAGGAAAGTATATATGGGGGCAGTGCGGAAACAGCGGCTGTAGCACCGGGTGAAAGGGATCATGTATGTTGATCACGGTAGGCAGTACCAACCGTTCTAAATTTGCTTCAAGGTAAGCTATTAGGAATATAAGCGTGATCAGTGAAGATGTGATACAAATGACGCGGCAGGTACAAAGTTGTACACAAGGTACAGAGGCAGGGAAAAGGAGGCGTAGTGATCGGGTAGTTGCTCGTAAGCTCATTCCAAGCTGACACTTAAGTACCCCCGCACGAGAACAAGGTCAAGTACGTGACACAGTCAGGACGCCCAGACCAGCCACCACCAGTGGCGCAAGAGCAGCCACGCAGCTCCTGATCATTTAACATCCCGAACCACTTCTTTCATCTTCAAGGATTAGGGTGTTCAGTTAAGTACCTCAAGATCGTTTTTTACAAGTTTCCTTCGGTTTTGTACGCACGATTGTCTTATCTCTGTTATCGGACTACATACCGAGCTAGACTAGCCCAAATGATATGTCCGCTCGAACAATCAACTAGGTACCGTGAGCTTGCAATGAAACGTCTGATGCATGCCACATACTCTTGCACTGAGAGACAAAGAGGCGGTGGCGCAAGGAGAGTTTTCCCATAAAAGTAAGGCGCTCTAACACCGCGCTAATAAGCTGCAAATCCAACAGACTCGGAGCATGTGGCATTCTAATCAAGGTCTGTTTGGCATTATTATCGTTGAGCAAGAAGGCCCATGTTCTTTTCCCAAAATTCCTTGCACTCACTATGACCCCAGTGCTCAACCCACCATTCTCCGAAGCTGTCTTGCACGTTGTCATCGATTTTTGGCAGTCTCTCATCACGCTTCAGTCCGCAAAGTGCGCATACGTGACGGGCTTTGATGGCTCCCTGGGCCGCGGTGGCTGTTACTACCCGAGCATTTTCTGTAATGGCCTGGATCGGCTGTCTTCCGGACGCCTGGATCACGGAATTAAAGAGTGCGGCTTCATCCCGCCACATTGTGAGCACGTCAACAGCCTCCTGTTGTTCCTTGATGCTCTCGTTTTTATTTATGGTGCTGAGTTTCATACCGCCTGGCTTCCCTGAACGCGCGGGGCCTATTCGCATGCTTTGACTCAATATTGTATCTCGTTTCCACCGCAGACTGCGACCAGCAACTACTCGTGCAACCACTTTCAAAGTGCAAAGCACAAGAGATGCGGCGGTCTCGACCTGGTCTTCCTGCTGCAGACCTCTTCTCGCCTTGGTAGCTTCTTGATGAAGTTGCTCAAAAAGCCTGGGAAACAACTCCAAGAGAAGAGACGGTGGGGGTATGTTTGTAGGACGGATCTGAGACTCGGATACTTTTTCTCCCGGCATAGTAAAATTAGAAGACGTAAGGACCGCTATCCGAGCCTGCGGGATTTTGCCCTGAGAACTCCTCGATCCGGAAGAGCTTTGGAGCTTCGCTGGCTTGATCTCTGCAGGCGGCCCGTCAATGAATTCGCCCCAATCCTCAAACGAATCGTCTTGCACAGGGTCGGGTACAGCAATAGGACCAACAGCCTTAATATCTGACGTAGACTTATCAGTCGACTGTCTGACAGCGGGCTCGCTGGCATTTGGCAGTTTCGAGTCCAGAATTGATAGAGTATCCATCACGTCAACCAGCGTAGGAGCGTCTTTGCGTCTACTTTGAGTGTCTCGTAGACTATCCTGCTGTTGGAAGCGTGCTGCAGACTGGCTTTTGCCTGTTGCTGACTCTGCGGATTCAAATTCACCCCAGCCCTCGTCTTCATCCTCGTCATCGGGCATAGGCTCCAAAGAAGCGTCAAATAATACATCATTTCCATCACCATAGTCCTGCAACTTTGGAAAATCCGTGTCCGAGGCTAATGCAAACTGGTCTTCTGGTGTCTGTGTCTGTTTTAAATGCGACGAGGAGGCGTGATCTTGAACATCGGTTTGAGGATTAGAGGAGACCACATCTTCTAATACGTCCAAATCGGGGATCAGAGAGTGTGCTTGCGACCCGGGCCGCGGCTGATGTGAGACATTTGAAGGCTGCGCAGATGGTGCCTTGTATCCAAATTCGGCGAATAGGTCTGCGGACATTGAAATAGAAGGCGAGAATCACAGTCACTTCGTAGGTTTAAAGATTCCTCGTGAGCAGGTGGAATGCTTTCAACTCTCAGTCGAACTCCGAAATGTCGAAAAATGTCATCCGTACTAGTCATAATCTGCTGTCCAGCCCACCGGAATCTCTATGGTGCGAATCCGTTTGTCGAATCTATATATATAGTATAGATCATTACGTGGTTTCCGGATAAGATGGCGAGGGTTTGGACAATCTTGAGGCGACCATAACGATCATGAAGCAGTAAAGCGCATTCCCATATGGCNCCGCCACTAAGACAATGATCGCCCCAAACCAAGGCTCCATTCGTATGATCCGGCCTGCATCACTTGACAATCCACCTTCCGTCATCGCAAATCTGCTCACCCAGACATCGCTGCTGACAGCCCTATGGAGAGATGAGAACCCTTTCGGATACAAGGTACAATTGCCTGTAACGCCAGAGGAGAAGCCCTGCTAATAGTTTCTCCAGTCAGAGATGGAATACCCTGTTTCGCAACAATGCTACACCCTCTGCCCTCCGAGATGCGATCAAATCAGAACAAGGAGACAAGATATGCAATGACGGATTGAGATCTGTCTGCTGGAAGGCATGCAGCCGCGGCACTTGGCAAGACGGTCAACTTTGCTTACCTGCCTGCAGGCGTTCCTGCTGTTCGACGATCTTCATCGCTCACAATGGTCACGAAGGACATCCGAGTCGCGGGACGCATATACCGCGCTGAAAGCGCACTATCTTAAATACATTGAGCATCCAGATGATTTACCGTCAACAATTGACCCACTAGCAGATGATGAAGAGGTATGCTACTTCTACTCGGCTACCGTGGCTTGTCATTACTCGCACATCTGACCTGTGTTTGCTCTCAAAAGTCTCCTTGGCAAACTCTACGACATGATGAGCAGATGAGAGCGGATATATCCCAGGATGTTGACCGATGCTTACAAGAGAATTTCTTCTTCCGTGAACCCGCCACCAAGGCGAAAATGATTGATATTCTGTTCATTTATGCAAAGTTAAACCCGGATCTTGGTTATCGACAAGGCATGCATGAGCTATTGGCGCCTATTCTGTGGGTTGTTCACGGGGATGCGGTTGATGGGAAGGTGCTTGAAGAGCCCTCGGTTAAGGAAGAGGTCGATGATTTGATGCTGCAGCTGCTCAATGCTGATTATGTTGAGCACGACTCTTTCGCGTTGTTTTGCTCGGTTATGCAAACTACTCGAGTGTATTATGAGCATAACAAGGAACGCTCTGCCAACGGTCAGATGGATGAGATACCTATTGTCAACCAGTGTCAGCACATTCATCAGAACCTCCTGACGACAACAGACCTCGAGTTAGCTGATCACCTACAAGCGCTGGAAATTCTGCCTCAGATCTTCCTCACGTGAGTGGGCCAGGACGAGCACGTCTACTTGTTCAACTGAGAAGGCTTGCTAACTTTTCAGGTAGTCGGTGGATGCGCCTGTTATTTGGTCGTGAATTTCCCTTTCAAGATGTACTATCCTTGTGGGATCTCCTCTTTGCAGAGGGGTTGCGGTCGGAACTTATAGAGTTCACATGTGTTGCAATGCTCCTACGCATTCGGTGGCAATGTACGTCTGAGACGATCTTCATTTATATCTTTGTCCCTCGATATGCTGATACGCCTTAGTATTGAGCACTGGATATTCGAGCGCTCTGACGACATTACTTCGCTATCCCTCCCCGCAACCGCACTCACCACAGGCCTTTGTGCACGATGGCCTCTACCTGGAGCAAAATCCAACACCAGAAAGAGGCAGATTTCTCATCTCGAAATACTCGGGAAAGCCACCCGATCCTATGAAGACGCTCGATAGATCAGGGGAAAGATTCCTTTCATTGAGACGATTTCAGTTGCGTAACGACTCTAGAGAAGACAGCCAAACAAGCTCTCCTTCGAGATCACCCGTGAGAGGTAGTCCCAAGAGTTTCGAAGGTCTACTCCAGGATTTCTCCGAAGGTCTCCAGCGACGGACTGAGTCATGGGGTGTAGCCAAAGCAGTGCGAGGTGCAGTCAACGAAGCTAGGAGGAACATGCAGGCGATGCAGCCTGAGAGGCTTCCGCGTACTACCCTGTCTGATAGCACTCCATCCGCGGTGCATACAAGGAACCTCTCGAGATCCGAGGAGCCAGAAAGGGTGACTAACCTCAAAGCTCAGATACAGATCTTGGAGGAACGAAACAAATCACTGGCCAAGACACTCAGTCAAGCTCTGAATGAGATACGCACTCAACTGATGAAAGCAGAAGATATCAAGGCCACGACTGCGGACGCCCTGAAACAAGCTCTGACGCAGATTCAGTCTGTTCAAACATGCCTGGAAGACCCTTCCGAGGCTTTGATCACTGTGGCCGGATGTAAGAGTGCGGATAATGATACCTCTCTGAATGTCCCTTCTAGCCCTCCTATAGCTACGGACAAGAAGGTCGACGAAGGAGGGGCAAAAGAAGGGCAGCAAGCCCCAAGCGATCCTGGAAGGCCATCTGTCTCACCTGTCGCAGTGGAGACTATGTTTCACAAGTCGCCGTCAAGCAACA